AATGCTTGTGCCCTTTGACCCAGCAATTTCCCGTCTAGAAAATGAGCCTGCATGCCCCGTTATAGACTGAATTATGTCCTCCTAGAATGTGTGTCAACTTGGCTAGGCTATGATTCCCAGTATTGTGTGGTTGTCCACCATTTTGTCATCTGATGTGATTATCCTCTGTGTTGTAAATCCTAACTTTATGATGTTAATGAGGCAGGATTAGAGGCAGTTATGTTAATAAGGCAGGACACAATCTACAGGATAAGGTTGTATTTTGAGTCAATCTCTTTTTAGATGTAAAAGAGAGAAGCCAGCAGAGAGGAGAGGGACCTCATACCACCAAGAGAGAAGAGCCAGGGGCAGAGCACATCCTTGGAACTGGCAGTCACTGAGCTGAGAAGCTCCTAGACCAGGGGAAGATTGATGACAAGGACCTTTCCTCAGAACGAACAGAGACAGAAATCCTTCCCCGGGAGCTGGATTTGGACTTCTAGCCTCCTAAACTGTGAGAGAATAAACCTCTGTTTATTAAAGCCATCCACTTGTGGTATTTCTGTCACAGCAGCACTAGGTAACTGAGACACTCTCACGTGTGAAGGCACGTGCACACAGAGTCAGCACTGAAGATTCACTGTAACAGCAAAGGACAGGAAAGTCCCTGGAGGTTCATCAGTAGGACAGTTTAACCAGCGGTGACACAGGCCTCACTCTGCAGCTGTTAAAAAGAACAGGCAGCTCTCTGTGGTTCTGTTGTGGGCAGTTCTCTCCCTGTTGTGGTGCAGGGTGGTGGGCTCCCAGGCTACCACTGTATAAAACTACAGGAGCAGGTGTGCTGTGGCTGCGCTCTATGTGCACAGACTCTGCAGAGGCCCCAGGAACAGGCAGATCCTGCAGGCAGGAGAGCTGGCGCACAGGGTGGGTGTGAGGGCAACTGGGTGTTTACTGAGTATCTTTTCTCACCCTTTGAATTGTGTAACATCTACATGTATTATGTCCTGAAAAGAAAATCCAAAGAAATGGAAAATAATAACAAAACAGAAATAAAACAGATTAATTGGGAAAGGAGGTTCTGGAGGAACACCAAAGCCGCACAGGGTCTCTTGCTGCAGCACCCTTTCCCCAGGTCATGGTGGGTGGATGGATGCCCTGGATGGGGGAGATGGGGTCCCCCCTTATTCGTCACTTACTGAGTTTACGTTCATTATCTCATTGAATTCTTACCCACTGCACACACTCCAAATGAGCAGGAAAGAAAAAAAAAAAAAAGCAGGAATTACCGCCCCCATTTGAAAGTAAAGAATTTTAATTCAGACAGATTAAGTGATTTGCTCAAAGTCACAGGGTTGGTGTCTGCCTGCTTCAGATCTCACAGGGTGACTTGTGCAGGTGGGAAGGGGGAGGGAGTCTGGGAACTGGGACTCAGAATCTGCTCTGCTTGGGGACCTGGAGCAAGCCACCCTCTCAGGGCTAAATGACAGGGCTGAGCAGCACGAGGCTGGTGACTGCTCTCGTGTCAGACGAGTGGTGGCTGCTGGAAGGCCAGGTTTGCTGCCTCTCACCAAGGAGGTTTATGTCCCGGGCATTTGTGGCTGCCTGTGGTTTCTACCTCACTCCTGTGTGAACACACATTCCAGTGTCCACGGCTCACTGATGCTCTTCCCATTTTAAAAAATTCTTTTTTCTCTCTTTTGTTTTGGATATTTCCACTGCTATGTCTTCAAATTCACTAATCTTTTCTTCTGCAGTGTCTCACGTGCTGTGAATTCCATCCTGCGTATCTTTTATCTCACACACATTGTACTTTTGTCTGTAGAGAATAGATTTGGGTCCTTTTTCATCTTCCATGTCTCTACTTAACTTTTGATTGTATAGAGTACAGTTATAATAACTTTTTTAATATCCGTGTCTGTTAATGAATGAACAAATGTGTCTTGGAAGAAGCACAGCCAGAATGCTCCTTAGAAGAGAGGATGATGAGACTTTATCTCACCTACTTTGGACATGTTATCTGGAAGGATCAGTCCCCATGGTTGGTAAAGTAGAGGGTTAGTGAAAAAGAGGAAGACCCTTAACGAGATTGATTGACAGAGTGGCTGCAACAATGGGCTCAAACACAGCAATGATTGTGAGGATGGTGCAGGACTGGGCAGTGTTTTGTTCTGTTGTGCATAGGGTCACGAGAGTCAGAATCGACTCGATAGCACCTAACAAAACTGTTCATTCTAATGTATGTGTTAGCTCTGAGTTGTTTTGGATTGATTGAATTTTCTCCTCATTATGGGCCACGTGTTCCTGCTTCTTTGCATGCCTGGACATTTTTGATAACAGACATTTGCCTTGCTAGGTGATGGATATTTTTGTATTCTTATGAACATTCCTGAGCTTTGTTGTGGGATGCAGTTGAGGTACTTGGAAGCAGTTTGATTCTTTCAGGTCTTACTCTAGGATTTGTAAGGCAGGACCACAGCGGTGTTTAGTTGAGGGCTAATTATTCCTAATAGGATTCTAGGTAAAATATAGAACACCCAGCCAAATTTGAGTTTCAAATAAACAATTAATAATGTTTTAAAATAAGTGTATCCCTTTAAATATATGGGACACACTTACACTAAAACATTATTTGTTGTTTATCTGAAATTCAAATAACCAGGCATCCTGTTATTATTTGCTAAACCTGGCAACCCCTATTTCTACTGAGGCAAGATTTTTCTGAGTATTCTACCCACTGCCCCGTAAATCATGAGGTTGTCCAGTCAGGCTTGTAAAATATGGCATAGCGGGAGTGTTTGACCTTCTCTAACTTCACAAGGAGGAAGGAGAATCAAGATCAACAGCCCAAGGCTGATTGCTATGAGGCAAAGGTCAGACATACCTCCTCTTGCTAGCCCTTTTTACCAGTTCTGACACCAACCGTCCCTCCCACGGCACTCCCTACTTCTCTGTTTGGTCTGATAATTAGTTGCAATGGCTACACAGAAGTCACAGACCATACTCACAGTTATGGGGTTTATTAGGGAAGTAACAGGTTACAATTCAGGTTCAGGAATGCTCAGGATACAGTTCTTCCATGAGGACAGCCTTTTCTCAGCACACCTCTCTCTGGCCTCTTGGCCTCTTGGGGAAGTGTTTCAGCTCTGCCAGTAAGTGCCTGGAGGCACCCCACTCCACCAGTAAGCCTCATGCCCTAAGGTGCTCAATTTTCTCAGTCCGTGCTCCGGTCAGCCCACCGTGCCATCTCCTGCCCGTCTCCTGTTCTGCTGCTGCTGTTTCTCCGCACTGCTTCTAGCAATCTCTGGCCATCTCTGGTGTTAAGACTCTCCCTCTCTGTTCTGGTCCTGCTGCCTCTGGCTGTCTTCCATGTTACAGCTCCTCTTTCCCTCCCTGTGTCTCCTCTTTAAGCCTAGCGGGATGGCAAAATTGACCAATCCCTTTGGTGGGCCGCAAGCACTTCATCTGCATAGCCCTACCCAGTCGTTTGGTGGGAGTTACAAAGACTATGGCGAGAAGGGCCATATTAAGTAATTCACTGCACCACAGGCTGGTGGGAACGGGTACTTCTCCTGTGACTATGAGCATGGGGCACCTCTAATCTCTTCAAATGGTTCTTTTCCAGTTTGGGGTTGTTCCCTCACACGCACGCACTGATCAGTATTCTGCTGGATACTCAAGGGGCCTTCTGCAGATCTGCAGAGTTCTCTCCTCTGGTCCGCTGTCCTGGAAAGTCTAGCCACCTTGGCCTCCCCGACTCTCAACTCTGATCCTCAACCCCAGGCTCTGCGTGGCTTCTCTCTCTCCACCAGAGCCTGGTAACTCTGCAGACAGTGAACTCATTTCTTTTCTGTCATGCGGGAGACACTGTCCTTTGTTGTCTAGCGTCTTTGTTCTGAAAACCATTGTTTCATATATCTTGCCATCTGTCTCTCTACCTATCACCTCTCTATCCCCTAGATCTATCGATCTACGTATCATCTATCACCTATCTGTCTATCGTCTATCATCTATGTTTTGGCTATTTCGAGCAGGAGCGACATCTGATCTGTTACTCCATGCCGGCCAGAAGCAGAAGTCAGTTTTACCTCTTTTAAAAGTAAGGAAAGTGAGGCTGTTGTTGTTTAATAGCAGCTTTATTGGCATCTAATTCATATACCATAAAATTCACCCATTTAAAGTGTCCAGGTGCGGACAAGTGGGGCCCGGGCAAGGACAAGGGGAGTCCTGCCAAGAAGGGGAGAGGATCCCAGTGCGAACAAGAGGTTCAGGGCGCGGCCGGCCTGGGCAGCGGCGGTGGGGAGCCGGGGAGGGAAGGGCGGGACCGCAGCGGACGCCCCCGGGATCCGGCCGGGCTCGGGCTGGGGAGCGGAACGGGCGGGGCTCGGGCGCCTCGCCTGGCCGACGGGCGCGCTCCGGACCCGACGCTGACGCCCCGACGCCGACGGCCCGCGTTAGGCCGGCGCAGGCCACGCCCCCGCCGTCGCGACACCGCCCGCCCGCTCTGCGGCCTGGAGGGACTTGCAGTCCAGTGCTTCTCAGGGAGAGGGACTCCAAGTCCCAGCGAGCCTCGCGGCGGGCCTGCTCGCCTCGTCCACCCGCCCGCCCCGCGGCCTGCCGGGACTTGTAGTTTAGCTCGTGTGACCCCCGGGGCACGGGCCGAGTGGCGGGACTCGGTTTCCCAGAGAGCCTAGCGCCGGGCCACGACGCCGTCGCCACTGCCGCCGTCTCCGCCGAGCTTTCTCCGGCGCCGCCACTGCCGCTGCTTTGCGGGCTGTGAGGCGGGTTCCTGGCGATTGGAGGCTGCGGGTGGGGCCTCCGCGGGCACTGCGGAGCGGGCCGGGGGAGGCCGGGATGGAGCCCC